CTCTCTCTCTCTCTGTCTTTCTTTATCTATCTATCTCTCTCTCAATATATGTAACAGTTCCTTGCTCCTTGAACATTGCATTACCTAATACAACACCACTGCTGTTTTTAAGCAAATATTTTGCAATGCAAAATTCTAAAGAATCCCATGTGTTCAATGACATGTGGATTAGTGACATAGTGTGTGTTAGAATGCTAAGGAAGAAGCCAAAATGTTTCTATTAAAATGCTTGAATCTATAGATCAAGTACAAAGCGGAATGAATATCACAATGAGAAAATGTGAATTGATGCCATAGTACATTTTTATTACTTGTGGATCTACTTGGCTTATGATAGTGACTTTAGAATTCACCCCTTCGAAGCCTTTTGCATGATTTCCCTTCATTCTTCAAGTTGGTAAGGTTGGTTGACATTCTCACTTGCTTTACCCTGGAGGAAGTTAGGTTCAAAGAAGTCTGATCTCTTTCCCACAACTCAGGCTTGTTCATCTCGGTGCTGGAAGGGCAGTGCCTGGCTTCTGTTTGGCTTCCCCTGGTAGCGTAGCTGAACTATCGATGTCTTCCCTGTGTCCATTTAATCAGCAGATAAACACAATTCTTAATCTCAACAGCAGTACTTAAAGAAACTGTATGTATACATTCATTTGGTGGTGGGGGTGGAGGAAGTTAGCAATTCTGGGAGGATGTAGAGGTCAGTGATGGCTCTTGAGATTTAAAAGGGCAGTAAAATGTTACGAAATTTTCTGTATTCATTTTACATAAAAAGACGGTATAGGCTCTTGTTTACTGTGGTATCTATTGGTGTCTGTGTGTGTTCGTAAATAAATAAAGCTTTTCTTGTTGTAGCAGTTACTAAAATAGGTAATAAAACCATCCATGACCCTATGAGCCAAAGAACACACTGTTTTGGCATGTAACCTTCCAGTCTTTGTTTCCAAATGCGCATATATTGTTATTTTTTACTTTTTTCATATAAATTGTTGCATACAACCCTTACGAGATTTCACCAAGAATAACATTCGCCATTTAGTTCTGGGAGAACATGTTCAGTAGCATAGTTTATGGTCTTGATATTTGAAAGAGTTCTCTTCATGTTATTTGGTCACATTCCAGTCCCTAGCAGAGAATTTGCCATTTGTTTTCTCCAAAAGGACATCTTTTTCATAGGGAACTTTGGAAATTCAGGTCCCAACATTTCTCACTTGTATAAATCACACTTAGACTCACACTTTGAATGTACCCTTCCCCGTAAAAGATTTTCTGGGACCCCTTTGAAATAGCATTTGCTACTTTCTAGGCTCTAAGAGCAGATGGTACCATCCATAGAATTTTTCTTCTGCCTCTTCTCGAAATTTCCCTTCCTTTCTCTGAAGGAAACAGGTGAGCCCATGAAGACAGGCGCTGTCTCTTTGCCTGTGCCTCGTTTATAGCATGTGACACGATGTATACAACCCAAGCTTCCTGCCACCCTTGGGAACACAAAGTGCGATTTGTCTGGGGAAAACCACTGTCTTGCCGGCAAGTGTGGGATCCTGCTGCTTTCTGTTGTCCATCCAGTGCTAGGTCTTGGAAAATTCTGCTACATGATGACCTTTTCTGAGTATTTTCCATTAGGTCTCCCAGCTGTTTTCAAACCATCTGAGTAGTTTTGGCTAAAATACATTATAAATTATAATCAGGGGCTTTGTTCCAGCATTCATATTCATTAGATTTTAAGATTTAATGACTATGTGGACTTAAAGCAAATCTTTGATTTCTTTTTTAAAAAGCACTCGAGTAGAGGCTCTCGAGTTTTGACATTTTGAATACTAATTTGTGGCCAGTTTTGGCTCCTGTAAAAGGGCTGGCTTTTTAGAAAGAAGGTAGCAAAGAGGAACAAATTCCTCTTTAAATTAAAAGAAACTTTTCTTATTTGTTGTAAAATACAGCTTATGGTGTCAGTTGACTTGGGATCTTTTGGAATATTGTATGAACTGCTTCCTCAGAGGAAGCAGACTGTAACTGTTAGCCCAGTATGCTGTAGACTGGTTGGTTTTGTACCATTAATGGAAGGGCCATTAATGAATTAATGTTTATTTATAGATAACTCTTTTATTGCCTCAGCAAGATATGAATATGGTGTTCTTGATAAAGGATTCTAGATTAAGGCCACGTCTGCTTAAACTAGCCTCTCCGATCCCTGCACCTCCTTGCCCGGTTATGAGTTTGGTGTGGACGGTCATGGAAGGTGGACCCCGTGCATGTGTTTGGGTGTATTTAACACCCATCTCCTCCTGTACCTGCCATTCTGCAGTGTGCTGCTTGCATTCAACATTGTGTTTTGGAGACCATCCATGTTACACATAGAGATAGCTCATTCCTTTTAACCTCTGCAGACTGCCTTATAGGTTGGCTGTTCCACAGTTTATTTAGAACCTCCAGTCCTTTCCAGGTTTCCTTTATACCAGCAGTGCTGCAGTGAGCATCCTTATACCTGCACCTTTCAATGGGCAAGTGTTTCTCTCTGATAGAGAAAGAAAAGTACCTTTATTTCATACATGAAATCTTAAGAGACAGGGAATGTAAGATGGTCTGGTTTTTTTTAAAGATTTATTTATTCATTGAGAGAGAGAGAGAGCAGGGGGGAAAGGAAAAGAGAGTCCCAAGCAGACACTGAGCGCGGAGCCTGATGTGGGGCTCAATCTCACGACCCTGAGATCATGACCTGAGCTGAAAGCAAGAGTCTGACACTTACCTGACTGTGCCATCCAGGCACCCCTAAGATGGTCAGTTTTATATGTGATAAGCAGAATACAGATCAAAGCCATTTTCCCTGACTCCTCCTACGTAGTTGGAGATTCTGGACACATTTTTATAGAGGGTTACTGGGATCCTGGGTGAAGTCAAGTCTGGTAAAGGCTAACTACAGTGAAATGTCGCTTCTTCCAGTTAACTAAGAAGGTCAGTCTGATTTAGGAAAACATCTGAATTCAAAGACGTAATATTATACAATTTTGAAGTGTATATAGTGACCAGCACTAATATGACTTAATAAAATTCCCTGAGGGAATCACATTAATGAACACATAAAAGCACCTAATAATTTTAAAGAATAATGACACAACTAAGTTGCTCAACACAGTTATTCTCATCCATAGGTAAAATATTTCCCCTACAATGGATTCTGTATGTTAGCCTGTTGGGCAAATGACTTTCCCTAGTTAGAGGAAGGTGACCATCACCACTTCTTTTCTGAATGGTGTAAATTCTCAAAGTAAGGTGTCATGGTTGACCTTTGAGAGGCCTACTCGGTGCCAGGTATGAGGCTTTCCAACGTGTCGTCCTCACTGTCCAAATCCCGTGAAGTGAGCTTCACTGTCTCCATTTCATAAACTGAGGCACTGAAGCAACCCATTGAAGCCTGCCTGAGTTCGCCCGACTTGAAAGAGTAACACTTTTAGTCTCCTTAGATGTGGTCTTCAGACCTCCTGTGTCAGAATCGCCCAGATTTGTTCATACTGCAGATTCCCGGGCCCCCCTCAGGGTGGGGCCCGGGATTCTGCATTTATAACAATTCTCCAAATTCTCCGTATGTACTTAGAAGTCTGAGAGCCACTTGGCCAGACTGTGGTGCCCTCGTTTTGGTGATGTGATGAGCCTTGCCAGAAGAGTGTCCCCAGGCCCTTTGGGGACGAGTAATCCATGACAAGTCATGCCTCACTTGCAGTGGGCACATTAACAGTACTCCTCTGGTGGCTTCCTCCTACTCACCCACTTCGTTGCCTCGTGTTACTTGTGCTGAACTTAGCACAACTCACGGTTTGACAAGTCACTTCCCAAAGCATTGAAATCATCACACTACAGAGGGATTATTTTCTAAAAAAGGTTGAAGTTGCCAGTGCAAAATCATCAGATCCCAAGTATATCTTTTGTGCCCAGTGCAGATGGAATCTGCATTTTGCATTCTAACCCTCGCTCCAACAAAAAATAAAAAATAAAAAATGAGAGGGCAGCTTGCAGACATGATTACCTTTGAAACACCATTATATGCTTTTATTTTCCTTTCTAGCCCTCTTTTGCCACACTCCCCTGTTGGCAGATTTCCCATATGTCTGCCCCTAATCGCTGCTGACTCTTCTAGAAGTGTGAGGCAATCACCAGCCCCTTCCAGCTCTCACCCTCCCATGAAGGACAGGGTTCTGGAAGAGCCAGCTAGGATCAGTGAATACCTTTTTCTCCTCTTCTCTCAGCTCCATGAAATTTCACTCCCCAACAATCTGTTTTCCCCTTAAGGGTCTGACCCCACCTAGTGTCCTTTCCAAGCTAAATAGGAGTGTGCTTGGCTGATCTATGTGCACAGAGAGGTGTGCCCATGATCTGGAGGGGTTCCTACACCAAGTTGAATTTGTGTTCTCTGCTGGCAAAAGAGCATCCGTCTTTGTTTTGGTGTTCAGCTCATCCAAATAAAGAAGGCATTTCCTCTCCTGAAAAGCAGAGGGGGAAAAAAGGAAAGAAACGACAAAAAAAAAAAAAAAAAGAAAGAAAGAAAAGAAAGAAAAATTTAATTTTAACCATGTAGTCCTCTGCAACTAAATATACACCCCTTCCTCTGTCCTGATTGGTCCGCTTCAATTGACAAGTGGATCGTGTGGAAAGGAAATATCCTGGACTTAATTGTAAGTTAAGTCTCTCTTAATCCAGAAGAGCATTTGAGATTCTGTCCAAGTGTTCAATTTCCCAGGCCGCTGAGGTCTGTGAATTTCTTTTCCCAGCCTCCAGGCTGCTGCAGTACAAGCCAGCATAGCTAATGCAGATAGATCTCCTGCCTCCCGCTCTCCTCCTCCCTCTGCTTTGATTCGATATGAACAGCCTGGTAACTCCGATGCTGGGGAGAAATCTGACATAACTCTGCAGATGGCTAGGTTGCCATGAAACACCTGGGGATTGTTCTTTAAGGAAAAGGTAACATTTATATGCTAATGATTTCTTCCCCTCTTCCCTCCTTGTTGCATTTTTTCCAGGGTTGCCAGTTCCCAAGAAGAGCCCAAAGTCGGTAAGGACTTATCAGTTACTTGGTTCTTGTCTGGGGGGAGTGGGGGGCTGGTGGTGGGAAGGGACGCCGTCTGCTTGACTTCACGAAATGTGTTTTAGAGTAGGTGGGGGCGACAGTAGCCCGGGCTCATTTTATTAAGTTCTGGGGGTCTGTTTGATAGAGAAAGTATTGGGTTTATCTTTAACTGTCTAGTGATTTGTGGGCAGGCTGCAGAAGCCAGGTTAAAGAATGTATGTTTGGAATCTTCTCTGTATAAATACATTACAACTCTTGTTCAAATGGATGGAGTTTCTTCCATGTTTTAACTTGATACAAACGCTATTGTTTCCTTGTTGGGGGGGGAGGGAAGCTCCACCTGCTTCCTGAGTAGGGTTGCTCTTAACTGGTGTTTCCATCCGTTCACATGGGCAGATTCTCTCCCTGAGCTTTCTTATGCATTGAATGGTGAATTATTTACAAAATCAAAAAGGCTGCAGGTTTAAAGAAGAATTGCTCTGCCCTGTATATATATCCGTGTTCACATGGAACAATGTTCACTGCCCCAGCGCTGAGAATAAGACGTTTCCTTGCTGTCGAAATGTCCTTTGTTGTTTTGCTAGCTTTAGCAGCAGTATGCTGCAGGTATAGGATTCTTTAAAAAAAAAAAAATCAATGTTTTGCTGTCCTTTCTAATCTGGTTTCCCTGAAGATGCATTACCTAGTTGACATGTTAGCTAATAGCTTAGAGGCTATGGTGTTTTGCTTGGTGGTGTGAGCTTCTGCTCCCAGGGCACTGACAACAAATTAAAATGCTACTTAAAAGCTCAAAATCTGTAACTATGATGCCTGTGAAATTGATCCAGGGGAAAGAAGCTTCCCCATTCATTAACATTAGGATAAAGAGGGGTACTTCCACGTGGCTTAGACTATTGGGGGAAGGAATATTTACAGCTTTCTGCCATCTGGGAAGGGAGAACCTTTAAAACTTTGCAACTCGCGGGGCTGCAGCAGGATTCTTTCCACCTGTCTGCAAGAGGCAGAAGTTTATTAAGGAGATGAGAGAGGGAGCTTCCTGCATTCTTAAGCTCCGCTCCTAAGTTGTCCAAAGAGAAAAACCTGCAATAATTGATGGGATTCCAATGGCATAGGGCTGTGGCGACTGAAACATGACTCTAGGGCTGCTTCCCTTGTCAGTTTGTGTTAATGTTGCAGCTGAAAAGTGCCGGTAGGTGTCCACATCGGAACCACGGAGATGCCAAGGTGTGCTTGTGGTGTGTGTGTGTGTGTGTGTGTGTGTACGTACATGGCACATGTGTGTCCTCGTCCCTGGGTCATAGTCAGAAGTCTATTCAGCCTTCAGAAAAAGAGAAGCAAACCTGGAAGATCTGTCACATAAGCTTCAGTTAGCCAGCCTTTTTCCTCCGGCACCCTCAAGCATGCTGTGTGATGCACGGACTTCTTTTACACACCCCACAGGGATGGAGTCTTAACAAGGAGCATACCGGGGGCCATACAGCAGCTTTGCACAGGGAGCATGACCTCAAGTAGCAAGGTGTTGTTTTCGGGTTTGCATCCCCTTTACACTTATTTGGCAGAAGGATTTTTGTGGATTTCATCTGCATCTTTCCTTCCCCAAAGTGTTTTGGGATTCCCTGCTGAACTCGAAGGATATCAAACAGGTATAGAGCCTGTATTCACCAAGTCAGTTAAGAGAATTGCCTATGACAGTTTATTTTTGTAGAAGCCGTGTCATTAGCAAGCAGCAAGCCAATTACTCCGGCTGCATTCCTAGGAAAAAAGCGTTCTTAACTGCTTTGCCCACAGCCTGCTGGCTCTTAATTACCACAAGCTAAGAGACTGGTGTGTTGCCGAGTTAGAAAAGAGCAAGCCCCCAGCCTGGGGCTTGTCCTTACCTGATTGCTGTGCCAGGACGGGGATGATGGCTTTCACAGCATTGCTGGCACACTCGGGCAGCTGCTGTACAGAATTTGGGAACTATCAGCCAAGATCTGCTGCTGTCAGTAGGGCATTGCTAACATCTGTGATCTGTAGGAGCTCTGTACCGATGGGTTAAAAGCTGGTTCCCTTCCCCAGTTTGAATTTTGATGATGTCCTGTGAGAGAGACAGATGATGATGGGATTTCTCTGGTGGGGTCAGGGGGAGTCCATGGGGAAGCTGGATGTCATGGTTCCAGAAAGCCAGTCATATAATGGTAGATAGGGTTAGTTGTGCAGGCTATGTAGTGAATGCATGCGGATTGTGCCTGGGTTGTGATATGCTGAGATTTGCCATTAGCTCTGTGAATATACTGTCTTAACCCGGGACCATGTTTCTGCTCTTCTCTTAGAGACTCCTGACATTGTTGGCTTGCTCATGTGACTGACAGCTTCCTTTTGCCCTCATACTTTTTTTTTTAATGTTTTCAATAATTAAGTAGTTGGGTTTTTATTAGAACAAAGGGACTTTTTGATCTTGTTTCCCCTCCTGGGCAGCCTCTACAGCTTACTCTTAATAAGCAGTTTCATCTAGTAGATTTAGTTTAAATGTTGGGTTTATGGGTTCTGTACTCATTGGGAACAATGGCAGTGTCTTGATAAAACGTTATTAATTTAATACCCGGACAGCCATAACATTAGGAATTTTTCTACCAAATGGCAGAGAAAAAAAATAAGACATATTTGCTCTCAGGTTTTAGACCTCACTAGGAAACTGATTCTGAGGCCCAATATAATCATCCTGACTGGAAACTTATTTAACTGAGACTCTCGTTCTGAATCACACACGAGGATTTTGTAAGAATTTAAAACTCTAGGGGAGCCTGGCAGGCTCAGTCAGTAGAGTGTGCAACTCCTGATCCCAGGGTTGTGAGTTTGAGTCCCACGTTGGGTGTAGAGATTACTAAATAATAATAAACTAAAAAAAAAAAAAGAATTTAAAACTCTAAATATACACAGAACCCCGAATTTTAAGTCCGCATTCGCTTTTGTTTTCTCACTAGTTCATTTCCGAACTATTACTTCCCTTTCTCCCTTCCTTCATCTATCCATCTATCCATTTATTTAACATTTAGTGTCAAGAATCTAGTAAGTATCAGGTTTGGTGTGAGGCACTGGAAATACTATGATAAGTAAGTTGGTCAGGTGACTTTCCTCATGGAACTTAAAAACAAATGATGTTTTGATCGCTTCTTTCAAAAAAAGGACTCTACAGCTTACTCTTAATAAGCAGTTTCATCTAGTAGGTTTAGTTTAAATGTTGAGTTTATGGGTTCTATACTCATTGGGAACAAATCAAATCACCAAAATTTTTAGGTACTTTTTCAGTGACATGTATTTGAGTATCTTCTATATGCCAGATCCAGGGACAGTATACAACAACATCTAAAGAGAAAACATTTCTGCCCTCACACAGCTGGGGAGAGATAAACAATAGCCACATAAACAGGCAGATCTATATGGATCCTCTTCATGGGTCATAAAGTCCAAAACTTTCAAAAGTTCAAAAGCAGAAAGATAGGGGCCCCTGGGTGCCTCAGTCAGTTAAGTGTCCAACTCTTAATCTCATCTCAGGTCTTGATCTCAGGGTGGTGAGTTCAAGCCCCGCATTGGGCTCCATGCTGGGCGTGGTGCCTACTTACAAAAATAAAAATAGGGCGCCTGGGTGGCTCAGATGGTTAAGCATCTGCCTTCGGCTCAGGTCATGATCCCAGGGTCCTGGGATCGAATCCCACATCGGGCTCCCTGCTCCTTGGGAGCCTGCTTCTCTCTCTGCCTCTCTCTCTCTCTCTCTCTCTCTTTCTCTCTCTGTCTTTCATGAATAAACAAATAAAATTTTTAAAAAAGTAAAATAAATAAATTCTCAACCTTTTAAAAAAAATAAAAGATGATAATTATAAATAAAAAGCAGAAAGATCATGTAGAACCAAGGACAAACATAATGAAAATCACTCAGCTCTTAATTACAACAATATAAGTCAAGTAGTCCCACAAAGCCAGAGAAAGGACCCAAGGGTGAGATGCTGTGATTGAGCTATGTAATTTTTCCGAGTTCCCCAGCAGCCTGAGCAATGTAGGAAACCATACCTACTTAGCTGTTACTGTCAGATCAAAGAAAGCATACCATGTTCATAAAAGAGATAAAATTTTCCTACTTAACGAAAAGACGTCTCACACAAAGTTTTCATACAGGGGACACCAAATATTGGAAAGATCAAAGAAGCCTGTTCTCTTCACCGAGCTGTTTGCAGCAAATGCAGCAAGCTCAAAGGGAGCAGTAGTGATAGGTTTCCCTTCCATGGTCCTCCATTCCTTTCCCCCAGAAGGGATCCTAAGGACATTGCTGACAACCAGTTGTTAAGAGATGTGAGGGAGGGATCTCTCAGGGAATGTGCCCAGAGAGTGACCCCAACCTGAATCACCCCATTTTATGTATCCTGCCTGTTTCTCAAACTCTCCTGGTTGTCTTAGCACCCCAGAGCCACTTGTCCTCTGACTAGGCAAGCGTACATGTCAAAGCTCCTGCAGCCTCCCAGGAGAAGCAGGAAGCAGTAGACGGAAGAAGGATTAGGATTGCTTCCGTAAATCTCCTTGCCCCTCAGCTTCTCACAGTGACCCAAACCCTCAACCCCGTGGAGTCTAGAAAATAGACTTTGCTTTTGTATTAGATTTCTTTAAAACATCCCACGTGAACCAAAATTCATTTTCCTATCCAGTTGCTACCTTCCTTTTCTTCTCTATTAATTCCTCTCCTCTGCCCTTTTAGAAGAGATTATTTGACTTAGACCCATAAATGATAAAAGAAAGAGACAAGGACCATCCTCTGCTTTAGCTTGGAATTGAGACTCTGATTTTTGCACAACCTTTAATGACATTGGCCTAATATCTCATCAGCACTTGGAGTTTTTCCTGTTGTCCATGTAAATCACTGCAGTGGCCTTCAGTCTTGGCAGATAAGTGAACTGTAAATAATTTTGCTTTAAAATGGATCAATTTGTCATTTTTAAGCCACATGAATTTTTTTC